AATAGAAGTTTGTGTTTAAGTTTTTAGATAAGTGATAATATGTCCTATTAGCCAACTTGCAATTTGCTGTCTCACTCACACAGAAAAGTACTCATTTTCATTCGTCATATAATTTTGTCTTTTTTTTTTAATGTCAAAAGAATAATAGTAGATGTCTTCGGAGTTGACTAAACATCAATCCTCGTAGGTTTAGAATAGACTTGTCGAAATTTTTTGAATAGACATAATCAAAAATAATAATTTTATAACAAAAATTTTAATTAATTAAAAAATAATATAATATTTTCTCTCTCATTCATAATCTCGACTATTTCATGAATTTAATTTAAAAAAATTAAAATTAAAATAAATTAAAATTTTATTTTTATTTTTATTGCTTGTTTTTAAGAATGTTGATATAGAAATATTTTCATGTAAGAATTCTTCTAAAATTTATTCCGATTAGACTAAGGTACAATTTTTTATATTTAAAAAGGTAAAAATTTGATAGATTTTTTAGATATAGTTTTTATTACTTTTTAATAAAAAAATTGTATAATTTTTTTATATATATGTAATTTATTTTTTATTTTGTACTTCTAAAATGATATTTAAATGCACTTTTTATATTTTTATTAAAAAATAATAAGAATCACAACTAAAAAAATTTATCTAATTTTTTCTTTTAAAAATGTTTTTTTTAAGATTTAATTGCAATTTTTATTTCCCTATTATTCTTTTTTTTTATTTTAGTCTCTTCATTTTAAATTTTAGATTTTTTTTTAAAATTTTTTTAAGATCTTAATTTTTCTACAAATTCGAAGACAATTTTTAATAATATAATATTTATAATGATGACGTGTCAGTACTAATTTAGAAGTAAATTGTTTAAAATAATTATTTTTATTTAAAATTTATATTGAACATATTATTAATATAAATTCTATAGCATTAAAAATTATCTCATAAATTCTATATCATTAAAAATTATCTTTAAATTTACAAGAGAATAAAATCATTAAAAAACTAAAATAAATTAACTAAAATTTTAGATTTTAAAATAATAGAATAAAAAATATATTTTTATTTAAAAAATGATTATATACTACTAAACTTATTTATACAGTAAATTGAATCAGATATCTTTATTTTGTATTCATTTTAATCCAAATAACAATATTCTTGCTAGAAATATCTAAGACCCATGTCATTGCAACTCCATATTGTAACCAATTTAATTCTTCTCTTCTTCATTTTTTAATCATCATAAAGAAATAAATTTAAAAAACCCTACATAAAACCTGGGATAGAACCTTGACTGAAAGAAAAAAAGAAAAAAAAACCATTTAAAAGAACAATGCAATGTAAATTCAATTTCAAAGGATATGATAATTAAAAATGTAAAGCAAATCTCTTAAGATAGACATTCACAATTGAATATTTTATAAGTGATATATATATATATATATATATATATATATATATATATATATATATATATATATATATATATATATATATATATATATATATATATATATATATATATATATATATATATATATATATATATATATATATATATATATATATATATATATATATATATATATATATATATATATAAGATTTTGAGAGAATATGTGGTGTGTGTCTCATTTGTTTGGACGAATATTTGACTCAATGTAAATACTTTATTCTCTTGATGACCCATGTGCGGTATCATAGTCTGGTTCGAGAAAGAGATCATCTCTTTGTGTCGAAAGTCTTCCTGTCATGGTGGTCAGGTGGCATGTCTCGTTGAAGCAGTGACAGATACAAAGCTCGGTCAGCTTAGGCACCTGCCCAGACTCTGGTTCAAGATTTCTTTAAGACAGAGGTAATTTGTATGAAAAAAAAGACAAACTCTTAGTTTGTGAATGACCAAAATAAAAAGTGAAATATTAGGTCAATCCCATTTTGTTGCTCGAGCTTGCGGTCTTTAAAATTTTATCCAAACTTCATATTTTTCTGGCTCCGCCACTGCATTGAAGTGTCTATGACGAGATAAAGATGTGTTTTAAAGGTGGTACAAATATGTGGATGAAAAAATTTCTACTTGAAAGGGAGCATAGTTGATGAACTCATACTTGATTGACAGATTCTTAAGAAAATAAGTGTAACTTGGGTTGAAAAAGAAGTGTGAGAGTGTGTTCAATACTGCATGAAGAAGAAATACCGACAAAACTGAGGATGAAGAAGAAAATCATAGTTAAAACTACATGAAAATTGTTAGTGCACAAGATGATGATGACGAAAAGAATGAGAGAATATATATTTATTACTCTGTAAATGACGGCTACAAAAGTATAAAAATTATATTTAAAAGACAGCTACTACTAGTCTATTTATACACAGAAAACTAGGACCGCTTAGGCAACATACTAAAATACTAAATCATCATTCAATACTATCCCTTAATTTAGGATTTCCTAATTAAAACTAACAACACTAATTTCATCCCTTAAGTGAAGAAATTGATTCGTCTTGATTGGCTATGTCAGAACATCTGTCAACTGCTTTTGGATGTTACAGTGCATAACTTCTAGTACTCCATTTTGGACTTGGCTTCTCAGAAAGTGATACTTTGTCTCAATATATTTTCTTCTCCCATGTAGTACTAGGTTCTTAGAGAGATTGATTGCAAACTAGTTATCAATCATCAACTTCAAAGGTTTTTCTACCTTGATCTTTAGATCCTGCAAAAGATTTAAAAGCCACACAACTTAACATGCAGCTACAACACCTGCAATATACTCAGTTTCACAGGCTTATAGTGTAACAACAGGTTTCTTCTTGGAACACCAAGAAATAGGACCTCCCAAAAACTTAAACAAGTGTCCAGAAGTGCTTCTTCTATCAACTTTATCTCTACACCAATCAGAATCAAAATAACTCATCAACTTTAAAAGATTGTGAAGCCTGAGAAGTCATGTGAGGTATGCATGGAAGGCAAGCAACCAAGATTGCCATTTGTGTCAGAATTAGCTCCAAGAGCATAATCAACTTCTGTTGCTTCCCTGTTCAAATTGCATAATCAACTTCTGATTAGAATCATACAACTTCAAGAGATTTTTCTTCATAATGACTGAGAAACCTTTCTCAATGAGCTGACCCACACTCATCAGATTGCTCTTAATTCCAAGATCATACCAAACATCCTTGATCAGAACAGTCTTCCCATTCTTCACTTTAACTTTGACATTTCTCATACCTTATGCATTAAGGTACTTATCATTAACACATATGATTTTGATCCTCCTTTTGGAGTTAAAATCTAGCAGCCATTCTTTATTTTCAGTCAAGTGATTTGAGAAGCCAGTGTTCATATACCACCAGTCTGCCAAACATCTTCCATCAGACTCAGAAGCCATCAATAGCACATGTTCATCATCAGAATCTCCTCTGACTATATTTGTTTCTCTTGGTTTTCTTCCCTTGTTTTACCAGCAATCTTTAGCAAAATGGCCAAACTGCTTACAACAGTAACATTGAACCTTTTTCTTGTTAAACTTCTCCCTTCCTTTCTGATGTTTCTTCTCATCAGAAGTGGAGGTTTCTGACTTGTGGAATCTATCGCCACGTCTTTTCTTCTACTGGTCCTGCTTGACAAAAGAAGTTTTCAGAGTCTGCTCAACCTCTCTCTCAGAAGTTCTTTCAGTCAGACGCAACTCTTGCGCCTCTAGACTGCTTTACAGCTCTTCTATTCTTATGGTGTCCAGATCTTTAGAATGTTCAATTGCTACAATAATGTAATCAAATTGAGGATTAAGAGACCTCAATATCTTCTCAATGATTACTTGTCCAGAAAGTGTTTCTCCACAAGTTTTCATCTCATTAGTGATCATAATCACTCTGGAGATGTACTCAGATACCTTCTCGTTGTCCTTCATGTTAAGATTCTCATACTGCTTTCGTACGGACTGAAGTCTCACCTTCTTCACTGATGTGTCACCACTGTAACACCTAACCAGTGTGTCCCAAGCAGCCTTCGCCGTCGTCGAATCATCGATTTTCTCAAACACGTTCACATCTACACACTAATGAATGTAGAACAACGTCTTCTGAGCTTTCTTCCTTTTGTCTCTCTACGCGTTTCTATATTCTTTCGTAGGATCTGCTGCAACCGGAACGTAACCTTCAGTAACAAGCTCGAGAACATCTTGAGCACCGAATAACACGCGCGTCTGAATGATCCATCTATTTCAGTTCTTGTCATCAAAAACTGGAAGTATGGTGCTCAGATTACCATTTCTGTTCATCTTCAACCTTGTACAAAACCCTCAGATCTCACTAAACACAGTGTTTCTCAATCCCGCAAAATCAGAAAAAATGATTTTGTTCAAGATTCAAACACAAATTCAAAAACTAAAATCAATCACACAACGACTCACCGTTTTACTCGTATTTTCCCGTATTTTCCCGTGGATCTGAACCCGAACTCTAAATACTAATTGTTAGTGCACAATATAATGATGACAGAAAGAATGAGAAAATATATATTTATTAAAAAACAACAACTACTAATCTATTTATATACAAAAAATTAGAACCGCATAAACAATGTACTAAAATACTTAATTACACTTCAATAAAAACATCAATCAAATTGTATAAACGGTTTCAAACAAATATCAAAGAATATGTAAATCCGGGTATAATAGATTTGGAAAATCCGACAACAGGAAAAAGCAACAAAAGAAAACCCAAATCCAACTTTGTGAGAGAGAAGAACACCGAAACCAAACAACCAATAGCCGCAATCAAACACCGGCGGCCCTGGTAACAAAACCTCACGGATACTATGATCCCAACAAGATTAGCAGCTGATGCAGAGAAGCTAACCGAAATCAAAATCTACATCTTGAATTAAACTTCTGGATTAGAGGGAAAACAAGGAAAGAAAACGCTCTCTGTTTTTATAGGACAAACAGATTGGTTTTCAAAACAGTGAAAATATTACAATCAAAAGCAGAACAAAATCAAAACAAGGGAATTCTTATTTGCCAAACTTTGATGTCACAATCAAGAGCACCACTGTAAACAAGATAAGAACTACAATCATCACCATTTTCACGACTTTTGGAATCAACTTCCATAGCCAAACACTTCACAGGTTTCCTATGACCCTGCAACACAGCCAAACATGCATAATTCTTTTCACCGATCCCTCTTTTCCATATCCTAACACTATAATCAGCTGATCCACTACACACCAACTCATCCACCACAACCAGACACAATATCGCCTTACTATGTCCTCTAAGCGCACCGACTAACACCATTGTTTCGTTACCCGAATTGCATTTTTCCCAAACTAAAATTGATCTATCACAAGCACCTGAATACAAAATTGAGCCGTCTTTGTTCAGAGCCAAAGCATTCACAGATGATCTATGTTTCTCCAATGTTCCAATCAAAAAATGCTTTTTGTTTTCATTTTTCTTCCAAATTTTGATCTTTTTATCAGCTGATCCTGTGTAAACAACCCCATCAGAAGAAACTACAATTGCATTGATGGCATCTTCATGTGCGTTTTTCAGAGACTCTAAACACTTGTAATCAGAAACTCTCCAAATCTTGAATGTTCTATCCCACGAAGCGGAGTAAAGAAAAAACCCGTCTTTGGAAAGAGCTAGTGAAGAAACTGCGTCGATATGATTCACCCATGTAAACTTCTTGTGTCTTCGAGCTTCGATGTAGTTTTTCGATAAAAAAAGCTTCGAGAAACGGTCGTTGAAAGTCGGAAGTGTTGCTATGCATTTGAAGAGCTTCTGATCTTGTTTAGTATTATTATTATCATCACTACCTTTTTCTGTTTCGATTCTCCAAACTCTGATTTTGTGATCTTGGTGAGCACTGAATAACATATCATTGAGAATAACCATAGACTTAATGCTTGATTTAGATCTGCTACTGATGGAAACTAGATTGTTTGTACTGTTTGAGGTTTGAAGGGCATAAGGGTCATTGGAACATCTTCTTATTTCACTATTGGAAGAGCCACTGTAAACAAACTTGGAGTTAAGAGTGAGGGAGGAGATAGGAGAAGAGTGACCATTGATTGTAGTTATGAGTTTGTGATGCGTGGTTTGAGATTGTTGAGAGGGTTGTGAAGTGAGAGAAGGAACAGAAGGAAGACTTGGTTGTGAAGAAAGGGAAGAAGAGGTTGATGATGGTTCTGAATGAAGGTGATCATGAGAGTGAGAATCTGTTTGTTTATGATGTTGGTTTTGTGTGTAGCAACAAAAAGGACAGTGAACAAGTCCCATCTTTGTTGTTTGAGAAGGTTTTAAGGAGTTGTTGGGTTTTATAAAGACAGCTTTGTGTGGAAATTTTTTGACTAAGAAACTGATTAGTTTGGCAATTTGACTTTAGACAAATGATCAAGGTGTTGCCACTGACACAATAATAGAGAATAAGGTGGGAATCACATGAAAATGCGATGCTTTACTTTAATATACTACAATAATATTAATTTTATGACCGACATGTATGTGTAGTTGTTATAGAAATTTTATCACTTCCATAATCTGAATTAAGATATCCTATAAAAATAAATTTGCTAACTTGAGTTACAACTTGTATTAAATCTAATCTAATGCAAAACGTAGTATACATTAAAAAAACAAACATATCAGTTTTTTCAAAACCAAATTTCTCGTATCTGATTGCTTAGAGGTACACGGCTTTTCCCTTTCACTCAGAGTTATTATTAGAGATTTAGATGAGAGTTATAAAGTGGTAGAACCCTATAATGGTAGAGAGTGAAACGAGTTGTACCTATATTGCATGAAGAACACCAAAAGGAATGATGGGTCGGTCGATTATACACTTTTAGAAATGAAAATGTTTGAAAGTTATAAGAACATTTTAGATTTTAATAGTGATAGTGATTCTCTTTTCTCATATTATTTATGAGGATATTACAAGAAACCAATGACGACCAACACCATGGGCGGATTCAGCTTAAGCACAACTGCATCCCCTTAAATTTAAAATGTTGCACTATATTTTGATATATTCTAAATTTTGTACCTCTTAAAATTGGTGAATTCTTATTTATTTAATTAGATTATTTATATAATTATTTAATTGATTTATGATGAGTATTTATTACATATTTGTGAAGTTTATATGATGTTGTGATGAATATGATGTTTGGTATGATATTTTGTGTGGTGTATGATGGGGTAATGATAATTAAGATGATATTGAGTATTTTTAGGATGATTGAGATAATTAGAATAATTAACTTGAATTAGTTTAATTAGTTAAATATAATAATAATAATAAGAGGTAGAGATTAGGAGGACAATATGGTAATATTGTGATGTAAGTGAGAGTAAGATGAGAAGACCATAGAAAGGGTCCAAGGGTTAAACAAGGAATAAAAGGAAAAGTGTCTCATACTGTGCGATCCTGAAAGTGAGAAGAACGTTGTGAAGAGCTCTAGGGCACTGAGGAACTCAGAAGGTTTTGTAGAACGCGAAGAGGAATCAAGTGCTAGGAAGAATCTAAGGTAAGGGGAGTTTATCGTTGTTATTATAATCGATATAAGGTTTAGATAATTGTAGGTTTGTGTTGGGGTTTTGGGATGATGATATAAATATGATGATGTGATGAAAATTGATGAATTTGTGAAAATGTTTTCCAATAAATTGAGGTATATGATGCATGATAACTTGTGTTGGTATTGTATGATGAAACTATGTGAAACCATGATGAATTGAGACCTTTAATATGAAGAAATTGTGTAAAAATTAGACTGGTGCAGTGCATAGATTGCAATAGGGAATTCCTGTTCGCGTTAGCTCGTCGAGCGAGCATGATGCATCGTCAGACAAAGGAAGTTCGCCTCTGATGCACTGGGCAAGCGTGAGGCGAAGGGAAGTGGTGAAAAACAGAGCCCCTAGACTTTTGTATGAGAGAAGAAGACTCACTCAAGCTTCACCGGGTGAAGCAGAGGCGAGCTAAGTTTGTCGGGCGAAGGAGACATGAGGGAAATTCATGCTTCTGGATTTTGTATGGGGGAAACTGATTCGCCCCGTCCTCGTCGGGCGAGCCTCAGGCGAGAAAATTGCTTCATCAGGCGAGCCTCAGACGAGGGGTGTCTAACAGAACTTTAATAGGCCGTAACTTGAGTTTCAGGACTTTGTTTGATGCTTCGTTCAAAGCGTTAGAAAGCTAACGCGATGAATTATACTTTGGTAGAGTAAAATGAGTCATATGGTGTGTTTTCTAGTGTCTATGTTTTGATGAATAAGATGATTTGGTGACTGTTCTATTATGATGTATGTGTATATGATGAATTGTCGTTGCTATAATGATGACGTGTGTAATATGAAATATATCATGATTTTATGATGATTATGTGAATAATGATACATTTTGACTAGCAGTGGTCATGTTATTATTGAGATGTTTTGTATCATGAATTCATGGCATATGATTAGGACTTCGGTCCAGTGATGTTGTTAGGACTTCGGTCCAGTGAAGTTTATAGGACGAATAGTCTAGTGGTGGCCTCAATTCTATAATGTGATTTGAGTGCAATTTTATGATGTGCTATGATTCCAAGCGGGAATTGATCCTATTGATGGGATATTTAGAGAAACGATGATTGAGTCATCACTAAAGTTTTGGTACCACATGCATGAGTCAATGATGTTGCATTGCATTATATGTGACATTTTATAATGATTAATTAAGTGATGTTTTGTGAATATGTGAACTAATGATTTCTTGGTGATGATTGTTTACTGATGATATAACGATGCTATGAATAAATAATAAATTGAAGGTGTGGGTATAAAGTGAAGTTTTGATAGTGTGTGATGTCTTACTATTGTGCTATAACTACTATATTTATTCCTTATGTCTTTTATAATGATTATGATTACTCACCCTTTCTGCTTGGAAATGTTGCCTCTTTACGTGAGTAACTTGCAGGTGATCAGGATTAGTGCATTGAAGCTTAGAGGATTAGCTTCAGAGTGCGTCATTTTTTTATGTTGAATGTGAGGGTCTTGCTCTGATATGTCACACCGAGGTTAGGAATGTTTGTTGTGAACCTATTATGTATTCTTATTTATTTTGAGATGATGAGTTACCTATCATGGTATTTAGTTGTTTGATTTTATGAATCATGAACGATGAAGTGTGAGGAAGACTCTGTGAAGTATTTTTAATAAAGATATTTTGAGACTATGATTCCGCTGTAATAATCTGAATTTTTGATATTCGATGATATTAAAGAATTATTTGTTTTAGATGTTTTAAAAACCTGTGTTACGAAGCAGGGTGTTTTATATGATGTCTTTATGAAGATGTGACACTCTTGTTGGTGATGTTATTTGATTTAATTTCATAAAATTATGCGAAATGTATGTGAGTTTAGAAAGGTGTTACATTAATCGTCACTTTTGGAGCAGCCAAAACAGCCAGGTCCGTCAAAACCCAGTTTCTGGTAATAGACTGACCATCGCTATATCGGTGCATCTTGAGAAGGCCAACCATGGTCGAGTTAATATTTGTACTCTCCATTGTGCATTTGAAAATGAAATACTACACCTCAAAGGGACTTGTCATCACCCTCCACGGGGACATCGAGGCCGCAAGGAGATGCTTCAAGGCAGCCTCGAAGGGGTTGAACGCCATCAGCACACCGCTCAGGACGACCAACAAACATACCTGACCCGGAAGCTCAGAAGAACCAAAGTCTCTTCCCCACGTCGACTCGATCGACCTTGTATGTCACTTCACTAAAGACGATATGCGAGATCAGAAGAGAAAAGAGAAGGAAGCCCGACTGACCACAAAGAGCTCCTCGATGCCACCCATCAACGAGGAGCCTGCCCATCCTTTATGCCCAATCCCAGGCAGAGAGTTCAAGATCATCCCCCGGGGTAACGATCCCAACAAGGGAGTAAAGATTGGCACATGTCTCCCTAACCTGGCGAGGAAGAAGCTCAAATCCTGTCTAAAAGAGAACACATACATGTTTGCGTGGAACACCTCAAAGATGCCCTGTTTGGATCTAGAAGTAGCTTGTCACCAGCTGACAATAGATCTTTCCCTTAAGATTGTAGCCCAACGTAGACGCAAGTAGTCTCCGAAAAAAACCGAGGTTGCCGAACAAGCTGTAAAAGACCTCATAGAGGCAAATTTCACATGTGAATCCCAGTACACAACCTAGTTATCAAATGTTGTACTTGTCAAAAAATCAAATGGAAAGTGGAGAATGTGTGTTGACTATACCGATCTTAATAGGGTTTTCCCCAAAGATGTTTATCCCTTGCTTATTATAGATATATTAGTTGATAGTTCAACTAGTTTTAAACTATTGTATTTTATGGATGCATATTCTGGATACAACCAGATCCTCATGGAGAAAGGAGATAAAAAGAACATGGCCTTTCTGACCGAATCAGGAAACTACTACTATAATGTAATACCCTTAGGCTTGAAAATGCTGGCGCTACATACCAACGAATGATGAACAAAGTCTTCCGAGGAGAGATTGAAGACATGCTCGAGGTTTACATGGACGACATGATTGTTAAATCCCAGGAGGATTCTGAGCATATGCTTCACCTAAAGAGGGTCTTCGACCAAGCGAAGAAATGCAAAATGTGATTCAATTCGAAGAAATGCACCTTTGGCGTACAGGCAGGTAAATTCCTTGGTTTATGCCTAACAGAGCGAGGAATTGAAGCCAAACCTGACAAATGCAAGTAATTCTTTGAATTCCCAATGCCGAACTCGAAGAAATCAATCTAATCTCTAAACAGGATGCTCACCTTGTTGTCCCACTTCGTGGTAAAATCTACCCAGCACGCACTCCCCATTTTCAAACTTCTTCAAAAGGAAGCAACATTCGAGTGGACCAAGGAGTGCGAATAAGCCCTCTTCCACCTCAAACGAGCATTTTCACAGCCATCGGTCCTCTCATAACCAGACAATGAAGAAACTCTCTACCTCTATCTCGCAGTCGCAGCTGAGGCTGTCAGTGCGACTCTCATTTGGGAAACTCCGGAGGGGTAGAATCCCATATATTTCACGAGTAAGGCCTTACAAAGTCCATAAATTAGATACCATCAAATCGAAAATAGTGGCTTTGACCCTCATCAACGCGACAAGGAGGTTAAGACACTACTTCCTAACCCACAAAATCATGGTCTGAACAGACCAGCCCGTGAAGCAGCTACTCGCTCGTCCAAACATGGCTGGCAGGATTCTCAAATGGTAGTTAGAATTATTTGAGTTTGAC